AGCCGGCCACCTTTCTTGCCTTTGTGTTTTTGATGAATTAACATTAAGCATAGTGTCCAACTCGGATGATGTCCGTCACATGACGGACGAAAGCTGATCAAAGATTCATCGGGGTCGCAGGGCTGTGTGCAGAGGATGGATTCGCACAATTCTAGAATCATAGCTAATAGGCAATCCTCCTACCGATTCCGGTAAGACAAACTTACGAATCCTTTCCACTTGTCTCTTCAAGTGAAATTAAAGGTACTTCAACATCAATATATTAAGAGAATCTTCGAAGCCCATTGTTTCTGCAAAAACTATCTATGACTGCTGGATTGGATAAGATAGAGAGAGTGAGATAGAGAAAAGATAGAACAACTAGAGCCACCGAGTAAGATAACATGGCTTGACTAACCTAGAGTTAGGGTTGGGGCCCAAAATTACTAGCTCGTGAGTATTCCATAAACATAACGCGCAGGCATGCAAACCACAGGATTACTGGTTCAAACCCTGGTTTATTTACATAAAGTTGTGATCACATCCGCCACCCTTCCTGCATCAACTTCAATTGTATACATGTATGTAGAACTAGCATAAAGCAGCAAACAATTAATAGAACGCATCAATAAGATCGCAAACTGAGGCACATTAAGTAAGTAGAATCTCAGCCGGCCACCCTTCCTGGTTTAGAGTTTTTGATGGTTGTTCGAAAATATTGGTATCTGGCTCTGATTATGTCCATCAAATGATGGAGGAAAGTTGAGCACGGAGTCAACGATTTAGTATGAAAGTAAGCCGAGGTCTTTTTTGTAGAATTTAACAGAGAGATATCCAAGAGAATCGCCTTCGATATTAGATGAAGCCAATTTACGGATTCATTCCATCCAGGTTATCGAACGAAATAATAGGTATGCCAATTGTTTTAGTCAACCATCAGTTATCTGAAATCGGTATTTAGTTGAGGCTAAACAGTAAAATCTAAAATAATCCCAAACCAGTTGAAGAATAACTATGTACCAACTAACCTTGACTCTAAACGGGTTAAAACGCTTATGATGGATGGATGAGCTAAGTGTCGCATAGGAAACGGCCAAACAGAGGTGAGTAGCCCTGGGTAGATTAGCTAAATCGATGCCAAATAACAATCGGGCAGACTCCTCTTGCATCGAAGCAGGAGAGGTTTGTTGCATTCTTTCACCATCATCTTCCAGGGAGTGGAGCAGAGGCGTCGTATGCTGGAAATGTGATAGAGGACGCAGAAGTCTGTCGGAGGATAGCACAAGATACTCAGGGCTGCAAAGCGCATGGTCGGCATGAAATAGGTTGGCCATGACAACAGCCATCCGGCGGTTATCTGACGGAAAACTCGAATTCGTCGAGGTAGGGGTCTCATACAATGTCTCTGTCCCATTACTCTGCAAGTCACAGACTGGACCTAAAGAAGAGGACTCATAGGATGTGTTGGTCGCAGTTGAAATAGTTTCGTTTAACCTGGGACTGCCTGACAAGACTCGGTCAAAAATACCAATTTGAGAAGGTTGGCAATGAGCAATATTGTTGGTTGGTGAAAACTTGGGGCTGGGGCAAGAGAGCTCCGGTATTCGGTTAACAGAGCCGGAAATTGAAAATGGAGCAGGCTAAAAAAGGAGCAAAATAAAATATGGAATTTTTAATTTAGCAGTTCTTTGTTTAGATAAATCAGTTTACACGAATAAATATTCGATTCTGATTATTGCATTGCCTCAGAAGCTCTTAATAGTTAGGATCTAGAAATTATAACAAAATTCAAGGGAAAAAATCGTGATTTGTTCCCCAAACAATTTTGAAATAAGTAACTTAAGTGCTGAAAATAGGTCCCTAGATAGAAGCAGCCAGCTACTAGTTACTAGTTACTTCGTCAACAGTTAGAATATGCATACAATACATGAAGAAACTGATAGGCTGTAGGTAAAATTTCGCAGACTAAGATGAATGATACAATATTTAAAACTCCTTTTTTACTCATTGTTAGATAATCTAGGAGTAATTGACCGTATGTTTAAATGTATGCTAGCAGTAGAGGTGTTCGATCATAGACGTGGCTCATGAAAAAAGGTTTGACTATAAGAATTACTCGGCGTTTTTAGCCTCAAGTTAGTCTCCCAGAAGTAGAGTGCGGGAAAAAACGCCTCGAGTAGCACAGATGAGGTGGCAGGGGTAGAGTAAAATATTTGCACCAGGGAGATAGCAGACGGATCCTACGGGGCAAGAGGGAGACTTATAAAATCCTATGGGAGGAGGACTGCGTAACAATATGGCAGACTCTGATCAACATTCCCAGCACAAGGGGGAATGGGATTGAGGGAGTGAGAAAGCCGGTGTGGGGTGTGGAAAGTTCTCATGAAATCCGCTCGAAAGGGCACATCATATCACATTTAAATAAGCAAAGGAAAAAATGTGACAGTGAAGAGGTAGTACGAGTATATAGGTTTGGTCATTAGCTCAGGGCGGAAAGCGAGATACCATGGGTGTTTAGCAGGCAATTGGTCAAAACATCGGCTTCACTTTTCTCTTTTACGAGTTGTAGTGTGGTGCTAACAATGGCAAAGCTCATTGAAGATGCTGATTACGATGCCAGCGAAACGTGTGGGAATATGCCATGTCAAAAGTCCGACTCTGGAAGTTATCACGCATACTATGAATTCCGGCCTAGGTGCGTTCCTCTGGGTTTTTCTTCCAATATGACTAAGTTGTGAAAACAAGGTCAAACAACTTCTAAACTGTGGGAGTCTGATTCACCTGATTAATGCTTGAATTCTGCCAATAGTGCATCTTGATCTAACTAGCCAGTGTAAGAGCTTTGATTGCAGATCGACAGAGTTATGCCATCTTATTTCCAGCATGCTCTTGAGAATTTTTTCTGGGCGATTCTCAGAGCCCACTTTAAAGTACTGGTGATAGGACTGGTCAAGCCGGTCGTCCTATATTTGCGGGCACTACGTTGAATACTCAAATCTTGATGGAGTCAAAACCTTCGAAACAATCCGTTTAATACCTGTCCAACAGCAACGATACATTTTGTCGTCTTTCGTATGTTATCTCCCTTTTTCACAGATTATTTAGCTGAACTAACGGGGTTTTTAGACATACTTGAGCAATAAGTCCGTCTCACTAAAAGAAATTCCAATGGAATAGTGCATACTTTTGTTTACAACCCTATTTATCACGAATCGGAATGTCCTTGCTGCATCGTCTTTGCATGAGTGAAGGTTGCTGATGCGGAGAGGAATGCTGTCCGCAATAATGGGCCCACTAATTGTGCAGAATATAGCTCGAGACAAGGTATCCAGATTCGTCAGCCTAAAGTGGCCATTATCGTGTCTATGCCCAATGTTTAATCCATAGATATTCTGGTCTTATGTAAGGTATGGGATTGCTGCTGGTTAGAAATATTAAATTACTGGTGCTATATAACGGCATTAAAGGACTTTAGGACGTAATTTAAAAGGAATTTGCAGGCTATCGTCCACTCACATCCCGCCTAAGGAGCTATTGAACCATTTGTTTAATTTATTAATTAATACTTTCAAGACTTGTCTATTATTCTGTAGTTGTTCACGCAGAATAGAAGTTACATTTGGCTTCAGTTATGATTGATTCTAGCTTTCCATACTGATGGCAATGAGGTGCCAAAGCTTCATCATTTTTATTGGTCAAAATAATCCATGCGCTCTTCCATTCTTCTGGTATATTTGCAGTTATTCATGCCGCCTCAGATAGGCCTTCAAGAAGATCGAGGTTGGACTACTCCGCACCGTGACGAACTCACTCAGAATCCGGTTATCGCGAAATGAGTTTATAACACTGAGCTCTTTATAACGATTCTTCCTTCCATGTTTGCAGACAACACATCTAAAATGACGAAATTGGATAGATGAACTGCCTCAGCGGCAACTCCTGTCATAGCGTTCAAAAGACTGTCAAATGGCACTACCTCTAATATGTGCCCCACGTGTTTGCGTACGAGCCCGTTTGTGTTAAATCTTTCAGCGGTTCGTCCTGAATTTTGGCCTGAGAGGGGCTTTATTAATGAGAAGTCTCTATCAGCTATTTTTTCTAATGAAGCTGCATAGGGGCCGCGCCATAAACCCATTTTATGCA